TGGGTGCTGTATGGGAAGGCAGGGGGCCTTGGCAGTGAGTCGGGGGGGCAGGCCCACTGTAGCGACGGGCCTGCTTTGAACAAATAAGACTCTTGAGCTGCGGTGGCTCAAGTGGTTAAGATGCTGAACTGCAGGCTGTGGAAGCTCGGTAGTTCAGCAGTTCAAGACCCGAGTGTGCTGCATGATGGAGTGAGCTCCCGTCTCTAGTTGCAGCTCCTGCCAACCTAGCAGTTCGAAAGCAAGAAATTGCAAGTAGATAAATAGGTACCACTTCAAGTGGGAAGGTAACAGCGTTCCGTGCGCCTTGGTGTTTAGTCATGCCGGCCACATGACCACGGAAAAGTCTTCGGACAGCGCTGGCTCTTCAGCTTTGAAACGGAGATGAGCACCGCAACCCTAGATTCGGATTCGACTGGCTTTCGAGCAAGGGAAACCTTTACCTTTACTTTTTTAGGGTCTTCTAATTGAACACATTTCTTAGATGCCGTTAAAACTCTGTTGATGGTTTGGCTGCCCTGGACTCAAAACTCATACGGCTGTCCCTCTGAAATCGTTAACATCAGTATAAAAATCGCACAAAGTACGTACACAGTATTTTTAAAAATCTGCAAAGCCAACCGTGAAAAGCAGAAAACAGAAACTGCTGAGGAAAAACTACACATGGATACAGAAAGAGAACAATATGGGGAACTGTTGCGCAACCCTCCGCACCCATCTCCAAGACACGGGCTTGTCAGACCAGCCATCAATCACGAGCCGGCCAGCCACAGGAGGAAGGTAGATTCCTGCAGAATTCATTGTAAGCCTCCCTTCTGGGTAACCAAAGCACACCTGCGATCTCTCAGATTTCTGGCACCGTGTCAGCTCATCTTCTCTGTCTGAACATCCAGCCGCACACTGGGAGCGTTATCCGTCCTGGCTTGTTGAGTGGTGCTGTGGCAGGAATCCAAGCCTGGCTCGATAATGAAGGGCACTTTTGTTCCTTTCCTTTCAGGCCAAAAAGAAACTGGGAGCGTTATCCGTCCTGGCTTGTTGAGTGGTGCTGTGGCAGGAATCCAAGCCTGGCTCGATAATGAAGGGCACTTTTGTTCCTTTCCTCTCAGGCCAAAAAGAAGCCACTCTTGATCCATAAAGGGCTTTTGGCATGAACAGCGAAGGCAGGGGCACAATCAGACTTTAGCTAAAGGATCTCTGGCCGGACTAATCTCTCCCCAGACTCACCTGCAAGGACAAAAGAGAGGAGGGAAGAACTCCCTGGAGG